TCTTACGTCGTTAATATGCACATTTCCAGGAATATGTAAACACGATAGTACTTGTGAGTAAAATTACTTCAAATGAATTTTTTCGAAAGCTCAAAAATTTTCTGTGTAAAGAGGTTCAAATTTCGCATTCACAGTCCCGCTTAAAAACCATTTTCATAAAAACGGCTCGAAATTTTTCTATGAGAAATTTCATATACGACGAGCTTTTGCTCTACTTTAATATTTTAAAGTAATTATTCAATTCTACTGGTAGAAAACAGAAACATTAAGCAAGTTTTTGAATAATGTACTTTGGGCGTCGATAGATGGCAGCTGGCAAGAGAATGTGGCAAGCTCGAATAGCTAGCCGAGACCAAAGGAAATTGAAAACTAATATGGGAATGTCTGTGCCATTCTGTAGCACCACTAGTTTCTTAATGAAGTGTGTTAATCAAAAACTAGTAATTTAGCTGTATTACAAGCTGTTATAATTTTCAAATTTGTGTTGATATTTTCGTGAAAATACTTAGTTTTTTACCAAATGTAAGATTTTTAACGATTTTTACAAAAAAATATGACTGAGATGAGTTAATTCGGAAATTGTAGTATAAATAGTATTACATAGTTATTATTAAAGAAGAGTAAGTACGTGCTGGTTTAGAACTACTAGTTTTAAATTTGTCCCAAGATTGGAAGGAGGGGCAGTTGCTCCCCCTTGCCCTCCCCCCGCCCCCGAATCCCGTGCCGAATCCTGCCGGATAATCATTTTTATATCTAACTACGAGGACCAATGAGCACATTGCTTGTTGCACCTAGTCATAGCCAAGTCTATCTGCTATGATAATGTATTGCAGATGGTCACATCACCGCCAAATATTCATTAATATTTACTGCCGATACCACCGCCACCAAAATTGTGTTCATGGCTGCCTTTTTTTTCAAAGTATATTATTGAATTCATGAATAGCTCTGTAATAACTTGACTTGTTTTAAACGTACCTCATGTACATTAACTTCAATAGAGAAAAAAAATCTTCAAGGCTTAAACAAAAATTCCGCGTAAGTATTAGCATTTAAATACATTCCTTTGATGTATACCCCCCCCCCCAATGTTACAGCGCATGATAGAAAGTATAGGAATGTGTTACCTCAGATGAAAAACAGTTTTGATTCCATACTCTCTGGTTCCGATGAAACATTTTTTCAAACACAATACACGATACACGTAACGCAATGGACAAGAAACATTTGCAAGAGGCTTCAAGCGGCGTCAAGCGATGTTTTCTGTTAAAACTACTAAAATAATAACAACTGAATAACGTCTATTATAAACAACATATTTCTATCAAAACAAAATACTTTGTTTTGAAGATCGTTTGAACTAAAGGACTGTCGAATTATCTCTTTGGGCTGATCAACTGGAACGAAAGCTTATTGCAATGCATAATTATCTTGAAATTGATTTTCTTCAGTTCCAGATTTAGTTTGAAATATAAGTAAATATTGAAATATAAAAAATTCCTACCATTTGGCCTTTCAGGCCTCTCGGAAGTTATTAATTAATATCAGGGCACAAGTACACTTACTTGAACTAGTTTTAATCTATATGAAGTTCCTACTAACATTTAATACCATAATATAGTATTGGGTTTTATACCTCACTTGTGAATAAAATATGCATGCGCTACACTTGTGATCAATGCGCGTATAATGCTTGTATAACCTTATCAACAGCAATTTATTTCTTTATTTTTATTTATTTAGTCAAAAACAGTAAAAACTGTATGTGACATATGGAGGAGAAGATGCGCACGTTTTCTTGAGTTCCAAAATCCCTTCCCATCATTTTGACTATAAAGAGTTGATGGATGTGTAAAAGTTAAAAATAATTAATAAAAAAGTTTATTTACGAGATTTTCAACATTTGAAAAACTAGACATTCATGGCAGTTTTAAACGATCTTTTGGAAAACGTGACAATATCCAAGATGGTGCATAAGCTGTACGGGCAAAATTGAAAGTTCTTTTGCTAGAACAAGCTTCAAGCCTTAAATTTTTAAAAAAATCGATAGTTTATGTGAACATTAATCCAACAAATGTTTAGCTCCCATCGTATTTGTACATTAGGAATAAACCATGAGGTTTTTGGGACCAGACTTAGGTAATTGTTTTATATTACTTCTAATGTATTTAAATTGTAGTAAATCTGAATTTCCACCCTGTAATCATTAAATTTTCAAGATTTTAATGCCTCGCCTTGGGCCTGCCATTGTAGTAACTCAAAAACTACTCTTTTATACAAAAAAATTACAATCTATATTCTTGCACGGGTTTGGTCATGCTATTGTAGTACCTCACAATTTCTCCCTTATAAAATCTCTCTCTCTCTTTATTTGTGACAATTTGCTTTATAAAAGTAATGCGCAAAAGTGTAACATCCGTAATATACTACAAGGCCTGAGAAATTTGAGTGTATTGTTTCTGCATTAGATTTTTCAAATATATTTTTTTCATTACAAGTGCCAAAGTGGCTGTGGTTCTGCAACCTGAAGTTATAGAATCCGGTCAGCAGGAGAAGTCAGAAGAAAATAACTGAATTGCATGAAAATAGCCTTGAGTAAGACAGTTTTGATGAATACCAGTGATTCGTAAATAAATTGGCAAAACAATTGTAGTATTCTAAGCTTAATAAAAGTTTCCTATGTACAAAACTTGTCACTAACTTTCCACAAAACATGTTTGCTTATTTGCAATTCTTACTGAATATAAGCCTACGAATTTTGCATGTTTATTATCCATTCAATTGTTTGATCTGAATGAAAATGTGATGAATTAGAAAAAATAACATGCGATTTAAACTAACAAATTATTTTCGTATTAGGATATGAATTTTTTCACATCTAAACTGCAGATCTGGAAGAGGATAAAGAACCGCAAGGTCCAAATGACATGTTGCTGTGTGTGTGTGGATAAATAAATATATTTGAATGTCTTCCCCTAACTACAATATTGTGGAAGGAATTAATGACATCTTGTAATAATTTTTAACGGTGCTGCCAAAATAATGAGCTTTGAAGGCTTACGTAATTCAATAATTGCAAATTTAAAAACCACATCTAATCAGGCTTAATAAAATGTTAAAAAATATGCTAGTGCTATGATAAACGTACAAATTCCAACTGTATTTGTATTGTGGTACTTAGGTAAATGTTAGGTCTGATTAAATTATAATTTTTTAAACTATTCGACATTCGATTATCACAAAGTGCAAATATGCTAATAGTTTGCATTTTCCTTACAAGTAAATTGTGATGAATGCTGTTTGATTCCATAATTCAATGGATAAAGATGTGTGAATAATCTAGAATAGATACAATCTATCGGATACAAGAAGATCCTAGATCCAAGATCCTAGAATCGGATACAAAAGGTATCAAATATTTGCATTTTGGGACAATCTACTTTTACAATGATTATTTGGTGTATTAGTAGTTTTAATGACAGTAATGACAAAAGTTTCTAAAGACAAAGTACATCTAATCCAACGTGCAAGTCATTGATGTTGATATAAAATAATTTATGCCAATTGTCTCACCTAAAAAATGTATGTTTTGTGTTGTATCTTGACAAGTTGGAGATGGATAATAATTGCATTAACACCGATACGTGTGAACGTCAAGAGTTGTTTCAATAATGTAATCTGGTGCAATTCATAGTAATGTAATGATGTAATGTCTGCAATACCAATTTATTCTTCTGTACCTGTCTTGTATTGCTCAATAATATTATGAAAAATTGTTTTCAGAATATATTTTATGAATACTATAAACAAAAACATTTGTTTTTTATAATTGCAAACCGATTCTTCCCAACCCCAAATATTTTGTTATTTTTAAATATGCGCAAAATTAGCTGAGGTTAATACCTACATTGGATATCCAAATGGTTGATTCTGCTCCTAAAGCTGCTTCTTCAACGCTCAAGAAGTACCCATTCTGGCTCCACGAGTTCAGTGTTGTCGATTTAACTCGTGTACCTTATTGTAGATGGTGTCACACGAGTTTCCCCTCCTATTCTATATTCCACCATGACGCTACAGTCATGCTTACATTGTACAGCATTATGAACGTGACACAATTGTGATGTTGTCGGCGCGTAAAACACAGACAGGGAGTTGTTCTGTACAGATTTATTGACAATTTTTTCTATACACTATTTACACTCCTCGGGTACTAGCGCTGCACTTCCAGCCCTGCACATCCCCGCTGAGGCATACCCGCCTCAGTCTAACGTAGACCCCAGCGGTTTGGCGCCGCTCGTGGTCTTTCATCCCGTGGCAACCGCCACATCTCGCAGCCGAAGCTCGCGATAACCCCTGGCGGGTGAAAAGTGCTTTCTGCACCGCGATTCGGTTCGAAAACTAATAAACACGGTTGGTTACTCCCCTACCCGCCTCGCGAGGGGTCACGTGATAGACATCTCGTGTCGGCGGCGACCTCTCCTTCCGAAACGTGGGCATGGTTGCAATATGGAGCCCAGCTGCCCCGCGGCTGGACTCACCATCATCCCCCTCTGCGCCAGTTGACAATCACGTTCCGAGACACGCCCACCCCGGCCCTTGAGGAGGGCCCGCCTCTGATGGCCTTCCCCTTGTCGTCAAAGGGCTGCCCCCGCCCCCTCGCTGGCCTCCTGATATACGTGGTCCATCTGGCCCATTGGCACGACGATACACAATCGAAGTTCTTCGTTATGGATATGTTCTTCGCTCCAATTCACTTTTTTATGTTCCCAATTCTTTTTCAAACTTCTGCTTTGAGTTCTTCAATTCTGGAGTCGCTTTTAGTTTCATTTGGTTCTTTAATTGTCAGCAGTATGCTACACTTATAACCTCATATAGGTTCTCTTGTCTCTCCATACATTTTGGCATGCGTCCTTTTGAGTTCTTGCGCCTCACACGACCATACACTTCCGTTTTCATTTGTGGCCTCCTCTTCGCTTGCAAATATCTGGTCTTTAATTTACCTCTTCCACCTGCATACCACACATCTTCAAGGTTTGCCAATCCTCTTCCACGATCCCTGAGCAACACGTTTTTGCTTCATTGACACGTAGCGTCAGGCACCTATTTCCCACGTCCAAAATGTATGTATCTCCATTGTATGCTCTCAGGCAATCAAACTCGAGAGCTAAAGGCGTTTTTAAACCCCGAATAATTATTGCAGGTGCTCTGATAGCGAAATTATCAATCACGAACTCCATCCAAACTTGACTGTTTTGGCAATCTTCCAACCGTTTATTCTCCACCTGAATTCTCAACTTTTGTGCAGGCAACTCCAAGATTATGCCCTTTCGCTTGAATTGTTCATAAAATTCCAATGTCATTGCTGTCACACTACTACCAGAATCTACTAAAGATTCCCTTTCAACTCCAAAGCTAGTTCCTTTCAATACTAAACAATCACTTTATGTTTCCTCAGGCCCCCATCTTCTCTAATTAACTCTTCTTCCTTCTCAACACTTGCAATAGCATGTATTCTTTCCCTTTCCGTTTCGTTTGAATCGACGCACCTTTTCGCTTCAAACGTCTCGTTTTACGGGATAGCATTGACGTCAACATTTCGCTTCGTTCTTCCTTCCTTTTTGAAAAATATTTATTCCCTCCACTATTATTTCCTGACTTATGAGAATCATTTGATTTGTCTTCTTGTCTTTTCTTTCCCTTATAGAAATTGTTGTCTCCCGTTGTTTTGTCATTATTATTCTCGTTCCAGTTTGGGTTATTACATGTGTATTTTGTTTCCCCCCGCGATTGTAGCTAACATTCTGGTCAAATTTGTTCAGTCTTTCTCATAATTTCTCGATAACAGCAGAATTTACAATTAAATTCTGGAAACGGTACGTATTACACGCATACGTAGCAATATTCCAACATTGTTTCCCCGCTGTTCTTATTATATCGTTGTGACATAATTTGATATTTCATTTCAAACGTATGCTGATCATTCCAATGTCTTTTTAAAAACTTTTTTACCATTCTGCACACTCAAGTTGTCGAGGACATGACTTAAACTAATTTTGGGCCTTGGACGGTAGTGCTAATTGAAATATGTCCATTTTCAAATGTCGGGAATGGTGGTTTATTGTTAGATAATTTTCCAGATTTTCAATACACGAAAGTGGTTGTTCGCGCGCCTCTCCATAGAACTTAATTGACGCAGGAAAATTAATCAAACTTTTGTTTGAACCTAAAGAACCATTGTTTCGTGCAAAATTTATTTTTCTTTTTGAATTCATTTAGTTCCTGGCGAAGTACTTTTTCGGCTTCGAATTGAATTCCCTTTTGGTCTATAATCCCACAAATTTTGTCGTCTAATTCATTCTCAGATTTTTCATATTTTATTTCAAAATAATTAGGCGCTTATTATGTAGCAGCACAGTCTCAGTGAACTGGCCGATCTTTCTTTCAATAGTTGAAACCTTAGCGCATTGTTGCTTGCTAACTCGTTCTACAACAACAAAGGCTTCCTGAATATTTTGTACTGCGAGATCAATATTTCTTTTTTTTTTAAATAATATTATTATCCTGATAAAACTCGTATTGTTTACTGCAGATTGCGTATCTTTTCTAAGATTTTCTGGTTCTTGGCGTACTTTATCAATATCCGCACGCAATTCTATTACATGATTCTACAATTTAATTTCACTTCTTCAAATTTTTGTCTCAATGTGGTTTCTAATTTATCCTGCAATTATTTATTATTTTCGTTTAATTTATCGTGAAGTTCTTTATTATTTTCCTGAATTTCAAGGGTAGTTTCAGTGAATTCGGCTTCTAAAGTTGCTTGAAACAGCATTGGTTTCTGACAATTTCTCCCTTACGTATGAAAGCTGTAGATTTCTCTAAAATGTCTAGTTTTCTTTCTGGTTTTGATTTAATTTATCCTGAAGCTGTATTAACATGTTTAAAACCAAATTATCTGGTCCACTTGTGGTCTGCTCTTATTTGCTGTTTCCGCATCGTCAAATCTTCGCGTTGCGACTTCGTCGATTCGCCGGCCTGTGCAGTGTCGATAACTTCCGATTCCTGCATGTTTAGTTCGGACTCATGAATTTCTAAAAAAACATCTGTATCTCTGGTACCATCAGTATTACCAGAGATTATTTCCTCCCTTTGTTCACCCCCTTTTTGCGATCTCTTACTATGCGTTTCCATAATAAATGTTTACGTACACAACAGTTAGTGAATTACAAAAACGGCTGAATGCAAGTCGTCTTTCCTAACAAGTAAAATTTTCAAGGCCGACATTGTACGTCACGTTGAAGTTGTACGTCAAGCACATGCATTGTAGTAAATCTGAACTTATACCCTATAATCATTAAATGTTCAATATTTTATTGCCTCGCGTTGGGCCTGCCATTGTGGCAACTCAAAAATTACTCATTTTATTGCAACCACCCGGTTTCGGTTTTTAAAACCAAACGCCCCAGCTGGTCCATAGGGTGGTGCATCAATCACCAACACTCCCCTGACCTGAGTGCCGGTGATTGTACAAAAAAATCTACTTAGGTGGATTTGCCGCAAACCGCAATGTGTTTACCCCATTAATTACTTTGTACCCTTCACATACAAGTTTTTTTTCTCTATTTGGATCTCAAGGTTAGCTGTTTCGTACATATTTTTTTGGAAATTGAACGAGACCACGATTTTCTTTAACATATAACACATTTATTCAAAAAGGCATAGAAACATACTACAAAACAAAAACACAACAAAAGAATCCTTCAAATCTTATACAGAAAACATTTCACGGAAACAATATGAAACAATATATTAATCAGTGATGTTTGTCAAAAATGGCTCACTTAAGGGCAGGAATATATTTTCAGCAAATGCCGTTGTCTGTAACTTCAACACTTGACGTAGTAATCATATTCATCAGGTGACAGTATCAACAGCTCACTAAAAAAAATCACATATAATACATGTACATTATTTTACAACACCTTGCCAAATGACATTAAACGATTAAATTCCATACAAAAGTTGAAGTCCCAAGTAAAATCTTTTCTGCTGCACAACTGTTTCTATACAATTAGAGACTATATCGAGCATCCAAAAGGAAAGTAATATTAATTTTAACAATGACATTTAATGTATTGTATATCGTTTGGATTGTATAATTGTAAAGACCTGAAATAAGTATTGTACTTCAGCTTCTGGGTCAATGACCCCCATATCGATCAGCTTTTCGTCTAGTTTCCCTGATCTTTGAGCAAATGCTGAAATGGCCCCTTGTTTTGCTTCTGGACATAAATGTAACTTCAAATTATTTTCTCCCCATAGCACGTCACACACAGTTTTTAACTTTTTTGGCGTAAATATATACGTATATAAATAAAATAGACGTTCAAGCTCCCGATTGGATCAAACCTTGAATATCTGAAACCTGCCTGGGCAGAGTTGCATCAATCGCAGTGCAGAATACTTTGTTTCTCAGAGGGTGCTGCTTTGACAGCAAAAAAACATTACTTCAATTTGCTTCAAAGATGGAGGCTCCTCAGTCACTCTATATAGTAAATTCTAGCTCGTTGACTAGCACTTACAAGGAAACTCTCTCATAATTTGTTCATCATTAAATTTAATCATCTTCATTGGTTATTTATTGAAACGACTGAAAATTATTCTTTATGACAAACCACATTTCAGCATTTTGACTGCAAATTAAATTCACTGATGATTCTACGAAGGGTTCAGTGTGGGCTGAACTATTCTTTTACGAATCTTTGAATTTTACCATAATTAAAAACTATTGTTTTCATTCATTGTACTTAATTTATTCTCTAGTAAATGATTAAATCTAGCTTTATTGTATCATGTACAAAGGTGTCTGTCCTCAAACGGGGTGGGATAGCAACAAATATTCTACATATAGTAGCTGTCCCTATAGTTTGAGCGCTCTTGGAGAAGGCTCGCAGAACATGTAGCCGCCAAGTTTTTTGATGTCAAAACATACGAGGGGTGGTGGAACCAGGGCGTAACCGTCGCGTCGGAAATCATTGCCAAAAGTAATGCTAGAAAACTTTGTTTCTCAGAGGGCGCTCCTTTGACTGCAAAAAACATGGCTTCAAAGATGGACACGCTTCAGCCACTCTACAGTCCCTGGCCAAATTATTAGACGCACTCCAAATTTTTAACAAAATGTTAAGTTTTGAAAGTTCTCACTGCAGTCATTAACATCTGGCTTTTGCGAATCAATCAATAAAAACAAGCTTCTTTTGTCTAATAATTAACACATTATTTGTCATTATGTACACATTGTTGTGACATCTCATTGTTGCTTAGACGCACAAATACAAGATTGAGTAGAACAAGCGGTGACATGAGTAGTTGTTGTGCATGAAGATGGTTTTATTTTCCATTTATTCGTTTCTGAAATTAGGTATAGCCGTGGTTTATTTAAAAAATGTGAATTGTTGTATACGAAAACTGTATAGTTTTTGAATAAAAATAATGGAAGGCAAGTGATTTGTCTCAGTCGGAAAATCGCAGCAGTGAAGCTTTTGTCGACTCAGAAAATTATTCAAATCTGTAGTTATCTCGAAGATTGACGTATCCCAGACATCTATTCGGGAATTAACGAAAAAAATTGTCCTTGGTGAAGATTATCCCCACGAAGGAGAACACATGTGGACGGAAGAGAATATTTTCACAAGATCTGACAGATGTTTGAGGAAGATTTGCCAATGGAAAAACTTGGTTTGCTACTACTAACAATTAAATTTAAATGGGAAAGTATGGAATCTGTGTATCTGAAAGGACGAAGGTGTACACACTACAAATGGAATTTTTAAAGCTTGTAGACCCAGCCCACAAAACCCAAAATTAACAGCTGGTTTGAAAGAAAAACGTCTTGCATGAGCTTTAAGAACCTTAAGAATAAAGATTGTGACTTCTCTGGAATCGGTAAAATTTAGTCTAGTGTTTTTTGTTATAAGTATAAATGGCTACCACAAATTAATTCTAATGTCATTTACTTGTATTTAAGGTTGTTTTTGCGGGATGCACTTTCGGAAATTCTAGCAAACTTTAAGCAATCAATTTGTGAGAAAGGGCGCCCTGTAAAAAGTAATCAATTCAGATTGTGTCATCCCAGATTGTTGAAACATCAGTCAAGGCAATGATTTGCTCAGTGATCAGTGCAAAGGCACGGGGTGTCTGTATTGTAAGGGCATCAGAAACAAGACCATACAAGTCAAGTATTAGGAAAACGACTGCTGCCTCAACTACAGGAATGGTTTCCAATGAGAAACATTTGGTTTTATGCAATATGGGGCTCCATGTCATACTGCTCGAACAGTTCGATCATTTTTGTTGAAGAAAATATTCGTGTTGTTACCAATGGTCAGGAAATCACCAGACATGAACCAATAGAAATGTTTGGGAGCTCATAAGAGGGAAATCGCAAATTAAGAATAAAACAAAATTCCCTCCTTGAAAATAATTCAAGTCTCGGACCATCATCCAGAGTTGCAAGAAACTTCCAGGCATGTCATTAATATCATACCAAAAAGAATCAAAGCTCTAATAGCCGCCAAAGGTGGCCT